TTTTTTTTGAAGCAAATTCTTTCCTCTACTTATTTGTTTGTTTTTTTTATTTCCCGATAATCAACATTTATTTTGTTTTGGTGATTAATTAGTAGTACTTTGAAATGAAATGTCCTGAATGTTTTTTTTTGAGCGGTCGAAGCAATTAACTCTTTTAATTGTTGCAAAAATGATTTTGTTAAATTTTCTAATAATATTCATGAAATTATGTGATTATTAGAACAACGCCAAGTAATAATAAATATCATTTCATTCATTTTCTCCTAAAAAAATTATATAAAATGGAAAAATGTTTCATTTTTTCCATATTCTAAGAAATTTATAAATTATTATGTCAAAGACAAAAATTCCTTCCTAATTACACCAATATCAATGGCATTTTGTTCCAGTTACCAAAGTCAGTAAATGAAATTCGATCGATTAGTATTTACATATCAAAAAATCGCCAAAAGAAATGATAAATTCTTGAGTTGATTGTTTATTTTAAGCATTAGAAAGTCATATAAACAATGTTTGCCATTTATTCAAAAAATAAACTTAGCAAAAAATCATGTCCAATCAACAGATGGTCAAAGCTAATTTTATAAAAGTTAAGAGCATTGAATCTGCAAGGAATCAAGACTGAATTAGAGGCTAAGGTAAACCTGATGCGGAATTTCAGCCAGTTTGATGAAGGGTTTTATTAAATATTTTATCAAAAAAACTTGAATAGTTTGCTAATTATGTCTGTTTGATATTAGAAATAAAAGGATATTGAAAGAATGTCTTGTTTAATGATAATCATTAATATGAAAGTCTTCAAGTTAGCTAAAACAGGAATTCCAAGGTCACTTAAAATTACACCTTTAATGATGAAAAAATCTCGACTCTTCGTTAAGTTGTAACTTTGCATGATATTTCCAACTGGTTCAACTATTTATTTCCATTATCCTAATCGGTTACTCTCTGCTGGTACCATGGAGCCAAAACCGAAAAAACTATTTCGCCATAAAAAAATTTAGAAAACTTGAAAGAACAAAAAAATATTAGAGAGCATAATTGAAAATTTTATGAATTTAATACGACTAAAAATTCTAAGCAATTAATTAATTAATTCCGAACTGTTTTTCTCGTTTTTTCAGTATTAATTTTCTCGATAAATGAATAAATGAATGGTTTGATTATATCTCATCCTTATCATATTTTGATAACAATGTTTACAATAAACGGTTCAAATTAATTAATAAAACAGTAATTGAGGAAGATAGACATCTGCCCATTTTTAGCCGCGATTATTTGTCCATCTAAGTTTGTTAGTCCACCTATAAATTCACCGTTATTCTCTAATCAGTGAACTGATTAATTTTTAATTTTGCAAATATAAAACTCCGATAAGTATTCATTTGCTCGTTCTTCTTTTTACTTTTTCAAACTTAAATCCTATATGATAATTGGAATGAATCATTCCTAATGAATTTACTTTTAACGATAAAAATTGAGAATTTGTGTTCAGAGAATGTACATTTTTTACGCTTACAAATTTTAAAGAAAGATAGGAAATACAAAAAAAGCAGAAACAATAAAAAGCAAAAGAGAATAAATGTAATTAAAAATTAAAAATTTCTGTTACATAAGTAAATAATTTGATTTATTTTGGGAAAAATTAATTGATATTATACAAAACTATTTATCCATTCAAAAATATACTTCGTCTTTCATATAATTTCTTTTCCTCAAATTTAATTTTTCTCTTTCTCCTCTTCTTAATAATAATTATTGTTAATGATAACAATATTATAATT